AATTTTGAGTTATACAAGGTACATACATACGTACGTACGTTATGTAGGTACGGTGTCCGCCGATAACATCGCCGCAAAAACATCGCGGACAAAAACGTAGCGGAGAAAACAACACAAGGCGAAAACGTTGTGCTACAAAACATCGCGGTTCTAAAACATCGTGGCACAAAACATCGACGTCGAAAATAAAGCGGTAAAAAATAAAGTATCTACAAATCATTGCATGACAATAACATGGTAGACATGCTTTTTTCAGGTTTTAATAATTCTAAATGGATATTTCCATAATGATTTGTGAGCGCAAGATGTAAAGAAGGATAATTTTTACTTTCACATTTTTTATTAACTAATAGCAATTTTTGCTATAAATAAGAAGTCATAAGCATAGTTATTTAATCTTTCTTTTTCTATTTGTTTTTAGATTATACTTTTCATAAAAAATTACCAGTAAAACTTTAGAAAAAATAATTTATTAATGATTTTTGTTAGTTAACTATGTCAGTTTAAAATTCTATTAGGTGCTACTAATTGTCTATGCTTAAGTTTCCATTTTACATTTTCAACACATATTTATTAGTTAATAGAAAATATGGAATTAAAAATTATCCTTCTTTACTTCTTGCGCTCACAAATCATTATGCGAGTTTTTACAATTATTAAATTTTACTGTAATTAAAGCCTGAAAAACTCATGCCTGCGATGTTATCGTCATGCGATGTTTTGTAGGTACTCTATTTTTTACCACGTATTTTCGTCAACGAATTTTTTAAATTTCGAAGTTTTTGAACCGCATTATTTTCGACGACGATGTTTGGTGCCACGATGTTTTAGAACTGCGAAGTTTTCTTTTTGCTTTATTTTCTCCCATGATGTTTTGTACCACGACGTTTTCGCCTTGCGTTGTTTTCTCGGCGACGTTTTCGTCCGCGATGTTTTTGCCGCGATGTTTTTGGCTGTAACCGTAGGTACAGATGTCACAAAAAAATATCTTCTTAATGCATTTTACAATCCGTTTTGGAAAAAAGAGTTCTTTGTTCTGTCCGTATGCACAGATGTAAAGCAAAAATATCGTTGAAATGGATATTTTCTTCGTAATAGGCTAATCTAAATTTTTCTAGATTACAATACTTTATTTACTTCATACAAGGAGGTAAAAATACAGCGATAAATTTAATTATAAATTAGTCTTAAAGCTCAACATACGGTCATCATACGTCAAAAATAACGACGTGCAATGCTTTACAAAACTAAATGGAAAATGAACCTCTGGTTTACAGGCTCCGCTATGTTTCTTTACTCCAAATATGACAAATTATGGTCTTCTTTTGCTATACTTTTGAACATTTAATATCTTCCTGGCAAATGTTGCCATTTCATAGGGCATAAGATCTTTTATATCATCCAGATAAATATGAAAAATGAGTTTTGTAGCCTCTCAAAACTCGTTTTTCAAGTTGGAACACAACACTACGTTGCGATTGATTTCTTAACAATCCGTACCTTTATTTTATTTTAAATACTTTCTCTGACGCCAATACTCGACAGTTTAAACAAAATGTTTTAAAAATACATGAAAGATTGGATTCTTATTTCTCTAAGTTTTATTATTAGCCAAAGGGGCGTTACCCCAAGATGGCTATTAATCTCGAAACGGCATTTTGTTCTGAATCATTTAAATGCGATGTATCACTTTTCAAATTGTTGCCACCAAATATGATTGCCCTGTATTATATTTAAAGAAAGTAAATAATGAAAAATCTGCATGATTTATGTATGTTTCTCTCACCGTGAAAACACAGCGGTACCTAGAGTAATCAAATTCTGAATAACATAGTCCTCCACTCGAACATGGGCTTCTGGAAATCCTAATTTGGAATTTGTTTTATTGTCTATTTCATATTTTGTTAAACTTTAACAAAATTTTGATTAAAAACTCAATAGTTTCAAAGCGAGCAGGACAGCAGTATAAGGAATAGAACCGCGCGGTACTGTCTATCAAAATTCTAAAGGTATGCTGTTTATAAATATTTTTAGCCTTAAGTGGCATTAACCCATATGCTCCCGAAACGTGCATGTGTCCGTAAAGGGAAAAAAAACTCCGTTTGTGAGTAGTATAAAATCCAAGAGCTTTCAGATTATATTTAGCTTTTTTAATTTTTAGCCCACAGGGCGATTTGCCCAAAAGGGCTATTGATTTCGTTTTGGCATTTTGCGTTGGTTCACTATCGACGGCATTTCGCTTTTCAAAGTCTTGCCACAAATATTATAGAGTCCTGCGTCACATTTTCAGAAATTAAGTGGTGAAGAATCTCCATGACTGTATGCATGTTTCTCGCACTACGAAAAAACAACGGTAGCTAGAGACATCAAATTCTGAATAACGTAGGCTTCCATGCAAATGTGGGCATCTGGAAGCTCAAATTTGGAATTTGGATTTAGTTTTATTATCTATTTCATATTTTGTAAAACTTTAACGAATTTTTGATTAACCAAGTCAACGATTTCAAAGCTAACAATGGCAACACTGTCCGAAAAAAAAATATTTTTATCTCCAGCGTGCGAGACTGTGTATCGGAAATTCTAAAGATATGCTCTTTTTAAATTATTTTGTCATATTGCCGTTGAAAGTAAAATGGTTCTTTGAATATCTCCGCAAAACTTCCACAAAAGTTTAAGAAACATTTTGTACTTAATTTGTAAAAACTAATAAATAAATTTCTAATTAAAATATGAATTTTAAGCGTCCTTGAGAAAATGACATATTTCTCCCCCTCAGAACATTCTCATTCACATTACTTTCCTTAAATTCTACGCCCTTTATTTTAAGACACCATTCATTTGTCTAGGGCTTGGTTCCCCCCCCCTCTTTTTTTTTTTTTTTTTTTTTTTTTTTTTTTTTTTTTTCTTTCATATATCACCAGAAAATAGATTTGATAATAAAAATGGAAATAAATGCATATCACATTATTAAGCAAAAATATATGCTACAATAAATTTCCTTCGCTGCATTATTAAAATAACAAAAGAACTTTAGAACTGTTTTCTCGTAATACTCACGAGTTATTACATTCTGCTGCCATTTGATGAGCAGCAGATATGAAAGTCATCTCTTACATAAAATAGATTTCGCAGTTCCTCGTTTTTCCATACTTTCAAAATTACTTGTTTCCATTATACACTATGTATTTATTTTTAAAAATGAAACTGTACAGGAAAAAATAAAACAGAAGGAGATGATGGTTATCGGTATCTAATGATTCAAGGCAACTCTCTTCTTGCGATTTGGTTAACAGAGATTCCGGTCAAAAGAATTTCGGTTACAGAATGTTTCACTTTTACGGAAAACGTCGCATTAGAGAGGATTTACTTGAAAACTTCTGCCAATTTTCTATCGTTAACATACTATTGCTTACGTACGAGTTCACATTAAGTTGAATGTACAGAGGTCCGATGATAGGTTAATGAAGTTTATTTATCAAAAGAAACACTTCACACTTCTGGACCTTTTCACATAAATAATCATACAGATATTCACAGTATAACAGGGTACAATAAGTAGTTACACTTCAAACTACTAAGAACGTTAAATAAACTGCAATGTAAAACGCTTATGACTTTTGCTGGTTTTGATATAATGACAAATAAAAATCAAATGGATTGCAGAAAACTGTTAAAGTCAACTCTATTATCAGGAATGTATTTTATACCTAATTTTCAAAAATAAAATCCCTTCTCTTTACCTTCAGTGCCACTGATCAGTAGAACTGCATCAAGACAAAGCAGCAGCAAGTCAAAATCCACTGTTAATTTCCTGGTAAAAAAATGGAACAAGAAACGTGTATCAAGCGCATACCCTTCGCTCATATCCTATTAAATCTCCTGATGTATCATCCACGGAATTTTGCGCTTTTAGACTTTTGAAAAGTGCATTGTCCAGACGTCGACCGACGTAATGTGCGACAACCCTCCTTGGACTTTGGAAAGCTGTTCAAGAGAAATGGGATAAAATACCTCTTTCGATACTTGAAAAAGGATTTATTGTCTTGGAAATTATGGTGTAGAAAAATAGTGAAGAATAGAGAGTATCAAATGGAACATTTAAAACACAAACAGTTTTGGTAAAATATGTGAATCCGAAGGAAAGCCTCTGTATAAGGTAATAAAATGAAATAAAAAATTCCGATACTTCAATCTATTACTCAAGAAAAGATGCAGCAATGAAAAAATGTTGAACCTTTACTGTATAATCTTTTCAGAAAGTGACAGAACGATAAGAATCCTGCTTTCCCATCAAAGCACCACATAAGCAGTAAAACACTGATCCATCATACATGTAAGACAACAGCATGTTAAAACAGCACTAGATAGTTTAGGCTTTCTGACTTTCACCATGTTGCGATCTATTCTTGATTAGTTGAAATCATGTGTATTTAAAAGCCACTTGCTGTTTTTCAAAAGCATTGGGGGGATGCAATAAACTATGTTCATCTGAAACTGAATGAGAGTTCTGAATAAGCGCGCATGCACATTTCATTACATGCATGAGGGAATTTTAAAATACTCGAATAATCTTCTGCCAGTGAACTCAATATTGTTTATAATTAAAGACTGCCTTTTTAAATTGGCAACAACCAGAGTTGGGAATTCAAAAGGTGTAATGGTCAGCTGAGCTTGCATTTTTTGAGTACTTGTGCAAAATAAGTATTTTCGTTAACTTAAGTGCATATTTACTGCACGAAAATGTTCACTCATTGCATTAGTTTAAATAGAAGTCGAATACACATGTGTAACCAATAAAGTGTAATAACGTAACACGATGCAAACAACAACTTAAAGCAAATTTTGTTTTGAATGTTCCATCCAAAGAACAGTTTAAAATAAAATGTAAAAAACATAAAACATTTGCACAAAATTTAGAACCCAATAGTTAAATTAAAAATTGAAAAATAAAAAAAATTACCTGAATTTTAATAATCAAAATAATATTAAAGCTGACTTACCTTATATGTCGAATCTTAGTAGAAACAAGAAACCAAATCTTCCGTTACTAAAATATTCACAACTTCCGAATAAACAACAGAAGAATAAATAAATAAACAAATAAAAAGATGAGCCTCGGAAAGGAGACAGTGCGCATAGAATTTTCAGTAAAAGTGACCCTCCCCCTTCCTCTTTGTCCTCCCTCCTTCCTACAGGTGGCAAGAGCGTCCGAATTGCCACCGGAAGTGGAGAACGTCTGTGCATCTCAGAAGTTCCACCCCTGCAGACATATTTGTCATTCGTCAGAATCCTCTGTGTCTTTTTAATTGTCAGGCTGAAAGTCGACACACATCCATGTAGGACGTGCAACAATCGTCATCTCACAAAACACATCGGAAAGAAATCCAATTTCTATTTCCTTTTTTTTTAACAATACAAGAAACTATATTTTCTTTGAAAAATATCAGATTCACGACTTTGCCGGAAATCAATATTTATTTTATCCATTTTTAATCACTTTTTATCCCCTTTATGAAAAAATGTTTTTAGTACTTATAAGTAGATTTGAAGCCAAATCTGTTTTATTATTACAGGAGGAGGATGTTGTTTTCACCTAATTACGGGAAAGCTTTCAGATAAAGTGCTGTTGGTGTCGTAGTTCCTCGGAGCTGTAGCTAGAGATAATATATGCACATTTAAATTGCCAGCAGCTTGACCTGTAAGTTAACTTGTGATTGTATAAAGCTATGGTTTAAAGCAACGAATAATATTTCAAAGTTAAACAAATAAATAAACAAAAGGAATCCAGAACCTGATTGGTTTGGTTTTAGGTTTTATTTGTCGTTATTGTTACCAATTTCATTTGCCTGAAAAAGGTCATCACAAGACAGCACGACATTCATCGTGGCAAGGAATCGAATGTGCCTGTCGTTCGCAAGAGCCTTGAGCACCATAGAGGTGACAGCCCGACTTATCTCAGTTTTGCCCCCAATTTTGACAGAGAGCACCCACGGAGAACGGTTCCGAGGATATCTCATCCCCCTCTTCCCCTACCATCAACCTCTCGAGAAGACTTTTGACTTGCAGCATATTTAGAGCTCCCACGGCGCACAGACACTACACATTTACAAACATCCCTGCCGTCTCGGGCCCTTCGCTGCGGCATTCAACGTATACCCCCATGCAGCTAGCCCATTCACCAGGTTTCGGGCCCCGGACCGAACTACCAGAGTTGAGTGACTTTTATCGCTCGGCCGCTGGTAGGTCCTCCAGGATAAGAAATGAGATAAATCTGTAATTTATTTTATCTCAAATTTGTCACTGTAATTAAATTTACGCCAGAATGTTATTTAGTTTCTTTTTGATTTGAACATTTGAATTTCGGTAAAAATTCCTTTTTCGCCTATCTTACGAAAACTTGCTTTCGTTCACCTCCGGCACGTTTAAAAATTAATTCGTTTCTTTAAAAAATAAACTGAAAGTAATAGCTTGAATTAAGTCAAATTTTTAACCTTTTTTTCCTCCTTCCGTTAAGAATTCTCACTACCCCTGGCTTAAGTTACGTTCAAGGCATTATTCCATTTAGACACAAATCAACTTTTTGTTTATTCAAAGTCTTAACAACATCTTTCGTATGATGCAGTAGTGAACAAAACAAATTTTGTTCATTTTGATTAAAGAAATAAAACTCTTTTTTTTTTCGTGCACTGATTTAAATAAAAGAAACCACTTACAGTTCTTTGAAAAAAGACTAATTTAGAGGCATTGCTTTCTTAGTTCTTTAGCGGCCGATATCGTTACTTTTTCACGTGATTTTTTTCTGCTGGTTTATTTCTGAAGCGACCATAATTAGGAAATAGTATCATAATGAAACGATTTTAGAAATTAGAATGCCACTACTGAGATTCGAAAGGTCGAATTAAAGATTAGAAACTGAGATTAGAAGCAAATACAAAAATATGATTATCATCTATTGTTTTGAATTTTTGCTCACTTTCGAATACAATCGATTGTTTAAAACAGTGGTTCCCTAACTGTGTTCCGCTGCGCCCTGGGGAATCGCGAAATATTGTAAGGGCTTCAAAATTAATTCAAACAAGACATTTAGCCTCAAGCACAAAAAAGTGAGAAGCTTCAAATGTCTAGATATTTTGTGTGGTTTGTTTTTATTTGACTCTGTATAAAAGAAAAGTCGTCAGCGCAGAGTATTCCCACGAACGCATATCGACAAAGCCATGCCTTCTCATTCGTTCCATATGATCGCGCTATATCTCAGGACAGTATAACCTGTGAATACATAAAAGGCTGCGGCGACCTGTTCACGGCTTATTCCATAAAAAGAAACGGTGAAGTTGCTAAAGTTAGCTCATCATGTTGTTTGATTCGGGTTTGCGAATACCGATTTTCAGAGATATTTTTTTCCCCGGAGCAGAAAATCCATCATTTTCTTTTTTTAGTCGGATTTCATGCGATTTATGCTCGCCAAAGAAGAGATCCATTTGAGGCTAGTGGTCCATCTGAATTTACTTTAGCCGAATGGGATCTTAACGAATTATCTTGCGACGACAGTTTGAAAGGAAAATTTGGCAGCATGGATTTGACAGAATTTTGCATTTCAGTAAACGATGAATGTCCTCTTCCAAGTGAAAAGGCTCAGAGGATTTTAGTTCCCTTTTCAACGTCGTATTTGTGAAAAGTTTGGTTTTCGGCTGTACTCGAAAGCGAGTTTAGAGTAAAAATTAACGTGGAAAAGGAATGAGGGTGGACGTGCACACTTTATCTCCCCGATTCGAGAAAATGTGCAGTGATTCCCAGATTCAACTATCACACTGATTATAAATTTAATGTTAATAAAGTAAAAAAAAAAAAAAAAAAAAGAAGTTAAAGAATAAATTAAAAATGTATTAAAAAGAAAATCTGAAAAATTTCAGATTTTAAATTGCGTCCAAAGGGGCGTTTTTTTAGCATTTTGTGTGTTACCTGTATTTATTAAATATCATGTTCTTCTCACTGAAACCATAACATTAAGTTCTAGAGCAATATCGCAAAAGAATTTTAAATTGAGCATATCTTTAGAATTTTCGATCACAGTCTCACGCACTGGAGGTAAAAATGTTTTTTCTGTACAAATATTCCATATTGCTCGCTTTAAAATCCTTGAGTTTGTTAATAAAAAATTCGTTAAAGTTTTACAAAATAGGAAATCGATAATAAAACAAATTCCAAATTTGGGCTTCCAGATGCCCATATACCCAGGAGGTTACGTTGTTCAAAATTTGATGGCTCTAGGTTTGATGGTTTGTTTTATCACATAATGCGAGAAACATACATACATTTATGCCGATTCTTCATTATTTAATTTTCTCACACATAATACAGGGCGATGATATTTGGTGGCACCAGTTTGAAAAGTGAAACGAGCATTTAGAGTGATTCGACCCAAAATAGGAAAACGAAAACAATAGCCCCCTTTGGACTAATATGACGATATATGAGTTTTATTTTTTATCTCTTAAATACGATTCATATTTTTACTTAAGGTAGGGCGACAAGGAAAATTTTAGTTGAAGGAAGTTGAATTTAATTTTAATTAAATTAAAATTAATTAATTTAATTAAATTTTAGTTTAATATATAGAGAGTATTACTAATTTATAAAAGAAACAGAGAAAAATTAAATTGGAAACTGGTAAGCGCTGGAAATTATGATAAAGGAAATAAAATTTTAACCATCTCTTGAAATCCGAAAAATAGTACAAGTACTTTGCTTCGTGTCAGGAAGTAAAAAAAAAAATAATTTCATTCAAAATCGCATGGTAGATGATATGAAAAAGTATTGGGCTTTATATTCGAATTCATTATTGGGCTACAACGCTTTCTGTACAAATTCTTATAGTGTAGGAGCAGTTTTGGGATTCACCGTATGGCTTCAAGAGTCTAGTAAAATTCTGACCTTGAAATATAAGGAAATATAAAATGCAAATTTGTAGCATCATTACGCTAAGCAGGTATTATACCGCAGAATTTACGAAACAGACATAAAAATTTGAAGAATGAATATCATTATTTAAATGAAAGTATTTTTATAGCATAAGCTTAAATACGACCATTATAAAGCTTTTTATAAATAAATGATATTTCATGTTTGGTAGGGGGGAAATTTATTTTTCGCGGCCATTATACAACTTAAAAAATTGTGAAAAAAAATCCCAATATTTCTTTGGAAAGTCACTTTTTTTAAAGATCTCTCAAGATTCTTAAAAATTATTCTAGAAGCCACACTTAATTTGCAAGAAATTTTATAATTTGTAAGACATCATATTTCCCTGTATATGTTCTAACGATATGCGACTAGCTGGCTAGAAGATCCATGGTTCGAGTTTCAGAGAGCGCTCAAATGATTTTTCATATTTCCCAAATCCTATGCGGCTATAGTCTCTATAGTGGCACCGACTGTAAAGATTTAAGGAAGATTGTAGTGTCCAATAGTTAGTGAATTTAGTAGTTTATCCATGAAGGATGTTTGTAAAGCCTTTGAATGGATTTTACCATGTTGGTAAATTTATATGTGAGCGACCATGAAACAAGTGGCCTTGTTTTAGATGGTATTAGTTCTGTCAGATGGTATTAGTTACGTGTTAAATTTTCTTTTGAGACTTTGGAAATTCATTTCACCAAAAACAGCAGAACAAAGGTCGTTGTAGTGTCAACAATGCGAGCGTCAACAGATGACGCCGCATAAATGTATTTCTAAGGGATTGATTTAAAACGTTCCTTGCTCCTAACAGTGACGCCTGAAGTAAAATATTGTGCAGAAAATACATTCGCCACCATTTGGATTTGGGCTACTAGGAGGACTGAATTTCGTGACCCTATTCGCTTTTTATAAATTTAAGTAAAAAAATGTAGAAAATTATTGCTTTTCTCTCCCCCCCTCGTGGTCCCACCGGTAACTGAGTGGTTAAACCGAATGAATGCTGGTAGTTTGACTCTCGCTCGAACCTAACCGAACAGGCTAGCTGCATGGTTGCTTTTCCTAGTTTTCCTCATATACACTGCTGTGCAAAAATTAAGGACGAGACGGTTTTTTTCAATATGACTTTGTACAAAAGCTTTCCAAATGAACACATTTAATACCGTAAGGTCCCCAATACGTAAGGACAGGAGTAATGTAAGCAACACTTAC